ACCCTGTGTACAACAGCTTTGAACCCTGCTCCTGAGCCAACCTTATTGTCTCTGACATGTCTATCCCTATCATTCTACTCACTGACTCAATCCATCTCATTGCCTGTCCCTCCACCCTTCCTAGCATGATGTTCCTCTCCAAGGACTGGTGCCTCCTTGCAACAACCCCAAAGTATGTCAGCTGGATCTTTAAAATCCTTGCTTCCAAGGAGCAGCCTGATTTCACTCTCTCCAGGCTAAACCTGTTTGTTCTCCTAGCAGTCCATGGTGTATTCATCACTCCTCTCCAGCACCACAGCTCAAAGGCATCAATTCTCCTTCTATCATCTTTAGTCATTGTCCAGCTTTCTGATGCATAGCAAGTAATTGTGAAGATCATGGCCTGGGACAGGCGCACCTTAGTCTCCAGACTGACATCATTGCTCTTCACTACTCTGGAGAGGTTCCAGTGCAATCTGTCTTTTTATTTCTTAGATGCTGATATCAAGAGTGATGATTGTATAGCCAAGCAACCTGAAGCTGTTAACAACCTTAATCTCTTCATATGATGCTGCCATTCAGCCCAGTGGTGAGAATCTTTGTTTTCTTGATGTTGACCTTCAATCCATATTTAAAGCTGCAGTCCTTGACTTTCTGCAGCAAATTCCTCAGTTCCTCCTCAGTTTCAGCAAACAAGGTTGTGTACTCTGCATAATGCAAGTTGTTGACGATAGTCACTATCAATCAAAGTTGACTTGATGGTAGTGGGTTCAAGGCTTGCCTACTCCTACCTTAGGTCTCCTTGAGGGGAAAGTTGGAAGAATGTCTTGCCTGGCTGACAGAGAGAGAAACTGAGGCCCAGAGGAAAGCACTAAACTTGTCCAAGATCCCTCATTGAGGGACTCTGCTAAAAATAGTTCTAGAGACCAGAACAGGAAGCAATGAATTCTGGGGGCAGCATTGACATTTTCCTTCTGCCTTGATCACTGGGCGGATGCCGTGTGAAGCAGGCCCCTGATGCTGATGATGACGCAGACTATGGGCCTGACCTTGCCTGAACCCCAGCTGCTTGGGCTCCCCGGCCCAGGGCCAGAGTGATAAAATGAAGCTGGAGATAAGAGGGAGGGAAAAGGGGAAAGAGGAGAGAGGAGGAAAGGAGGGGGAAGAGAGTGAGGTCAGTAAAGGGGTAAAGAGAAGAAAGGGGGGGGAGAGCAAGATGAGGGAGAGGGAAGGAAAAAGGCTTCAGAAGAGAGATCCAGTTGTCAGAATGGCACCTACTCACACTCAACAGGAGGCAGGGAGAACAGCTTTTGCTTCATATATGCAGAAACTGCTGTGGAGGGCACGAGAGTAATTTGCCCAAGATCTGCAAAAGTGGCAGAACCAGGACTCTAACTCACTGCATTAGCCCTTGTCCTTCTGAAGAGCTCTAGTGACTTAGGAGTAAAGAACTGAGCTGTTTCCATCAGCTGCTCCGTGGGAGAAAGATGGGCAATCTCCTCCCTCAGAAAATGGAGGGCAGAGTTTCAGATCCTTGCCTCAAAGGAGCAGTCTGGTTTCACCCTCTCTAGGGTCAATTCTGACTCAACAATACATGGCAACAAACAATAACTTCTAAGTTTCAAAATGGAAAATGCTTAGGCAGTACGTCCCAAAAATAACACAAGATACCCCACCACTGTATCAGTGGGAGCGAGGCCTTGTTAAGAGAGAGATTCTCTTGGGACAGTTTCAAAGGGAATCAGTCTAGGAATTTTAAACCATTTTAAACCATAACTTGTTGGTAAGTCCGCATTGATGCTGGGAAGTCTCACGTCTCTTTTGTGGGCTTTCCCATCCAACTTTCCGGCCCCATGTTCAAGCTGTACCCCAGGAGCCCAGCTATGTGGACAGACTGATTCACAGTGCCCCCACCCACGCCTGGGTCTTCCCACAAGAAACTTCTTCACCCCCTCCCCAGCCTCCCCATCCTGGGTAGATCTCCCCTTCCAGCTAGCATCTGATTTTTCTCTAGAAGCATTCCTGGGAATCCCCCCTCCTTCCCTTCTCCATCTGGAATTGTTTAGAAATTCTTATGTGAGGCTGCCCTGTTTCACAACAGTTCCCTCTATTAAATGGAAACTCCCAGACGGCTGGAAGCCTGTTGGTTAACAATAAACTATGACTTTCCCTGACCCTCTGTCAACTTATTAAGTGGCAGGGCTGGGTCAGCTTTACAAATGAAGAAACCAAACCTCAGAGACAGGTTGTGGCAGACAATTTAGTGCCAAATTTAGAACCCAAGTCCAGTTTTTAAGTCCAGATCTCTACTTTTACTTTCTATTTAACTACCCAAACAGCCCTGCAAGGCCGATGTTGTGGTGTGCCAGGAACCAAGTCATAGCTGACTCTCTAGGTTTTTAGAGGCGGTAAATCCCATGGGAGAGGGCTGTCCAACCTTCTGGTGGATTCAAATTTCATGCTTTTTGGATTGCAATGCAGCTTCTTATCACTAGGCCACCAGACCTCCCTGTGAGGCAAATACAACAAGGATTAGGATCCTATTGCTCAGAATAGGAAACATAGTCCAGAAATGGGCAAAAGCACCTTACATCCTTGCCCATTCCTACTTCTAGCTGTACTTGGGTTTCAGGCCAGGAGCTGATCTTTGTGTCCCCTTCTCTCTGGCCAGTGGTTCCTAAACTGGTCCTAGTGCTGCTTTGGATCCAGGTGCCTCCTCTGTGGCTGGTGTGTAGTGTGTGTGTGTGTGACACATTGCCTCCTTTGAAGCCATTTTTTATTAGGAGGGGGGCTCAGGGAGAGGGGATGAAGAAGTATATGGACACCTTAGTCACTAATAAAAGACTTTCTCTTTAAGTGCCCAGTTGTGGAAGAAACTTCTTCTCCAAGAGTGGAGGAGGGCAACTCTGAGTCGTAGACAAGGCCAGCCCAGCCCAGCCCAGTCTGAGCCAGACGGGGAAGGGTGTGGAGCATGGAAGTCAGACTGGTGTTTCTGATGGGGCTTTCCAACCCTACGCTGCAGGTGTGGTCTGGAGGAGGTACTACTCAGTTCTGAACTCTGGTGCTCCGGTGGCCAGCAGAGGACTTTGGACCAATCTACCTGAAAACAAACATAATAGCTAGTATGTACTGATTTCCTTCCACTACGCCGGACACCAGAGCTATTCAGTTGGTTCCATCCAGCCCTGTTGCTTCTGTCCCTTTTATGTATCGGAGTTAAGTTCATCAAAAGTACCAGAACTGGGTCTCTTTAACCTTCTGTTCTCTCCTCCCCCCGCCCGCCTCATCCTCACGTACACACATATACCTTTCCCACAAGCCCCCTGCACATCCCAGCCCCAAGGACCAATCCATCCGTGGGTGACCCAGCTTCATCTCCTCTGCAAAGACCTCCTTCATAGGATCGCATGGGGGAAAGCTTAAAACCCTGGTCCTCCTCCTCCTTCCCTACCCATTCTCAGAGCCCTGGTGGCGGAGTGGTTAAGAGCTCGCTTGGGGGAAGAAAGATGAAGCAGAGAGCTGCTTCGGTCAACACTGACAGCCTTGGGAACCATTGGGGTACTTCTGAACCAACTGTAAAAGGTTTACAACTAGACGGCAAGTGAAAAAGAATCCCGGTTGGCCTGAATGCCGCTACCCCTCCCAACCCTGCCCTTTCACGCCCCATAATGGGATTGTGAAACACAGGGCAGTCAGCTGGGGGGTCAGTACAGGGGGGGAAAAAAAGACCGGGTTCATTCGTAAAGCGGCCTCGAAAACCCCCCAAGGAGACCCGCCAGTGTTACCAAGTCAACGGGTGTCCCCGCCCCGCCTCTGGGCGTGTCCAGATCGCGCGCACGCGCAGACCCAGCCCGCGTCCTCAGCGCATGCGCAGTGGTCAATCGGACTGTATATTAGGGCGAAGGCTCTCCCGGCCTGAGGCTGCTCGTAGAGAAGGTTAAAGGTTAGTGTCGCCTTATCAGCACAGGAGTCCAACTTTTCCCCTCCGCCGCCTCCGTCGCCGCTTCCTTCGTAGAGACCCCTCGCGCAGGTGAGGATCCGCGCTCTGGATATAAAGCCAGCCTAAGAAAGTACCCTCCTTGTCTTTCCAGCCCGGGCCCCGCGTCCCCCGCTGCGGGGACACCATCCCCCACCGTTCCTGACACTTGACATCATGGGGACGACGTTTAAACCCTAGATCTTTGTCCGCCTCGGCTTTCCCCATTGACCCCTTCCCAACATTCCCTTTGATCCCCCTTTGATCCTGATGCTTTCGATCGTTTCTCACCTTCCCGTTATTCCAGAGCCCGCGACCGCTCCCCCCTCCCCATAACCTCTCACCCCCGTTCCCCAAAGATTGCCTCCTTCCACCAGATCCCAAACCCAGGATTTTGTAAGATCTGCCCTCTCTTCTCAGGTGGCCACAGGGTTGTTTCTCCACGGGTCCCCACACTTCTTTCTGTTCCCTACTCTGTCACTTAAAAGCCCATTTTCATTCATGGTCCCCGGGGGACATCCTTTCAGATCCAGGGCCTGGCGGGGAGCCCTCTAAAACTGTGGGCAATACCAGGCTGCCAGTGAGCAGAGGCGGCTTTCCCTGCTTGAGTAGCTGACAGTGACAACTCCAGCCTCCTTCTACCCTCTACCTCCTGGGTGTGCCCCAGGGCGTCTTATCTGTGCTGTTCATCTCCCTCAAGGAGCCTCTGACTTCCCAAACCTGTTCCTCTCTTTTCTTCCTCACCCTGTCACTTCGGTAATTGTCAGTCTTTACTTCATCTAGTAAAGGTGCTTTGTGGGTGCCTTTGAACAGAACGGGAGTATGAAAGGGAAATGAGTAACCTCGATGGACAGTGGTCATCCCCCCAACATTGGTGCTGTCCTTACCAGTTTCAAGCAAGACTTATTAATAATCCCAGGCCGCCTTGCTATCAACATACATTTAGGTGATTGGATGCCATTGCAATAATATTTGCCTGGTTATTAACAAGTGTTGATACCACGCATTGTCATTCTTTCTACAGAAGCCAGCACTCCTTCCAGACATGGAGACTGTTGTGCGTCGCTGCCCGTTTTTATCCCGAGTATCCCCGACCTTTCTGCAGAAGGCGGGCAAATCTTTGCTGTTCTATGCTCAAAACTGCCCCAAGATGATGGAAGCTGGGCCCAGGCCAGCCCCCAGGACCCTGTCTACTTCAGCAATACACTGCCAGCAAGTCAAAGAGACCCCCCCAGCCAATGAAAGTAAGTGTGGCTGGCTGTGAAAGGGTGGGATAGTGGTCTGCATTCATGACTTAACCAGAAGCAGTTCCAGTGCCCAATGGCATTGAGGTTCACACTAACAGAGGGCAGTGTTCCTGTGCCATGCAGGCCCAGCTTGTTACATGGATCATTTCATATCTTGTTCTTATCCCCTAGGATTGTTGTTGTTGTTGGGTGCCATCAAGTTGCCAGTGACTCAGTGACCCTATGAATAACCAAATCTGACCCTTGCCCTATCCTCTGTCAACCTTAAGATCTCCAGTAAGCTAGAGGCCATTGTCACAGCCTCTGTGTCAGTCCGTTTTGTTGAGGGTCTTCCTGTCCTCCTCCGACCCTCCACCTTTCCCAGCATGATGCTTTTTCCCCCAAGGACTGGCTCCTGACAGCATGCCCAAAGTATGTGTGAAGAAGTTTCACCATCCTTGCCTCTGGAACAACCTAGGAGGCACTTATAGTTTTTCCATCTTTAAAGATGAAGCAATGGCCAACTTTGCAGTTAACAGGTTTGTGGATTGTATGTCAGTGTTTCTTGCTGTTCTAGTGTTTTCAGGGGTGTCTTGTTCATGCACATAGTAAACTGGAATGCTTTATTTAGATTTTTCTTTATCAAATCCTTGACCTTTGGATTTTAAAGTAGCATGAGGTTGCTTGGGTTTAATCAAACATACAATTAAACATACCTGTTTTATAATAATGGTTTGTTTATAATAAAGAGATCAAAGTTGAATTCAGTTTGGTCTGGCTCTGCCAGGAGGGATGAAACTTTTCAGATCCCACTTAATCCTAGAAAATATCTTACCTTTCTGGTTTCTCTCAAGTTTGTTCTCTGGGTGTGGACTTAAGAGAAAGGATTGTTCTTGCCTTTAAGTGGAAAGGTGATATTTGTAGGATTTGTTCCTCTTGAGCATTGTTTAGGTGCTATGTGACATCATTGTTCTGAAGCACCAAGGTCCTCTCTTACTTGTCCCTAGCACTTGAGTAAACTGTGGCTTGTCCACTTGGTAGTCTACCATGCAGTCATGACAAATGATAGTCACATACTCCATGGACTAGCTTAGACAGATATTTATAATGGGGGGGGGGAAACACTGTAAATAAGTAGTATATAAAATATATAAAGATTTTTAAAGCATATACTTAGAAAAAAAGTTGATTTACCAAAATAGTTGCCATTGTGACTAATGAGTCTTTGAGCTGTGTTCTTGACTCTCTGTGATAAGTACGTACTTTTTTTCAATTGAGATTTTTAATTTTATTTTATTATTTTTTTAAAATTTATATGATTATCTTTGTGTGTGTACGGTCAAATCATATCTGACTGGTACTGGAGGAGATTGAACCTCCTTCTCCAGCAGAGCATCTGGTAGATTTGAACCGTGCACTTCTGGGATTGCAGTGCCACTTCCTGCCACTAGGCCACCAGAGCTCCCTTTAATTGAGATTTTATTGAAAGTTTATAAAGAAGTTGGATTTCCATTCATTCACTGTTGCATATCTCTCCCCCCCAGTTTGCTTTTTTCTTTGGAAAAAAGGTTTTTTCATTATATACACTTTTAGAATTGAGTAAGGAGTTGTCTTGGTCTGGGTAGTGAACTTCAAGTGATTTGCTTTTGGTTTGTTTTCCTTTGTAGAAGATTTTCATGAAAACCTTTTTTGACAGACTGTTTTATATGAAAGGCTAGCCTGTGACTCACAAGAGTATTTGGAAATTGATGAAGAAAGGTGAACTAATTCACTCAGGGAAAGGAGAAGTCATTGTAACTAGAAGTTTAATTACCAGCCAGATCTATTATATTAGTGGACTTCTTTGATGCATTTACATTAGAAAGTAGATGAATCAAAACAGCTATGAGCTATCGTCTCACTCTAGTTACAATCGCAAAATTCAACAGAGCAGCAAACAACAAATGCTGGCGAGGTAGTGGTAAAATTGGAACCCTTATTCATTGTTGGTGGGAGTATAAAATGATGCAATCACTATGGAAGGCAGTATGGAGCTTTCTCAAAAAGTTGGAAATAGAAATACCATTTGACCCAGCAATTCCACTACTGGAAATATACCCTAAAGAAACCAGAACTGCCACTCAAGCAGATAATATGCACACCTATGTTTATTGCGGCTTTGTTCACAATTGCGAGGAGTTGGAAACAACCTAAGTGCCCATCAACAGATGAATGGATAGAGAAGCTCTGGTATATTCACACAGTGGAATACTATGCTGCATTAAAAAAACAAACTCATAAATTATTATACAAAATGGGTGACCCTGGAGACATTATGCCAAGTGAAATATCTCACTTACAAAAGGACAAATACTATATAACGCCATTGTTATAAAACAGGACTGACAAAACAAACAGGACTGACATGGGGGCTGGGGGAAAACCAGGAAAAGAGGAGATAAATAATGTATATGACATTGAACCAGACAAGGGAGAGAACTGTATAAAAGGAACATATGATTAGGTATTGGCATGACAAGAGTCCAGAATAAAAGCTGCATAGTAAACTGGTCTGGGGAGGGAGTCGGGGACTGTATAACAATGAAAGAACTTTTTCCCCAAGAAAAAACCATCTAGGGTGGAGGGCAGGGAGGAAAATGTACAACGAACTACTGGAAACCCAAGTTCTTTGTAAACTTTCATTAAAATCTCAATTAAAAAAAATAGATTAATTGTATGCATGTAATTATCCCTATGGTTTGTTTTTTGTTTGAGTTTATTTTCTCTTAAAATACTAATATTTTAATTCACTTAGACACTAATCTGTTAACCTCCATTTTAATGCCATTTCATAGTTTATGGGGAAAAACACCAATCTTTTGCAAGCATACAGCTAATGGTATTTTTTTTTTTTTTTACAAATCAAAAGTTTGTGATAACCTTGTGTTGAGCAAGTTTGGGTATGATTTTCCCACCAGCCTGTGCTCAGTTTGTGTTTCTTTGTCACATTTTGGTAGTTCTGGCACTATTTCAGACTTTTCCATAATAGTAGACTATACAGTACACTTGTTAGATCATATGGTATAATGGAAACATAGTTTTTATATCGTATACACTTCAGCTCCTTGCTGTGAAATCAGACCCGACTCATAGCTGACCCTCCAGTGGTTTCTGAGAGACTGGAAATCTCAGGAGGAGATGGTCCATCTATCTTCCCCCAAGGAGCTGCTGGTAGATTTGAACCACCGCAGAGGTGCCTCCTTTGAATTAGCAACACAGCTCCCTACCAGTTAGACCACACCCTTCCTTTATCAACATTGGGAAACCATAAAAGTAATGTCACTCCTTTTAATGTAATACTTTATTGCAGTGAGCTGGAACAGAGCCTGCAATATCTCCAAGATATGCCTGTATGTGGTAAACAGCAGCTTGAAAGTGCGTCCTCAAGTGAAATACACTGAGTGCACTTAGAGTGGAATTTACTGGAAATAATCCAAGAATTCTAGGTAGTCTAAAACTAGAAAATACGGATTTTTAGATTTGTAAGTGAGAAATACTTTGAGTTTCAGAGAGAGCTAGAATGTTCCCGTTAGTTCACCACAGGACTGTGGGGGTTTTTCCCAGTGAGCTGGATCATTTGTAGTACGACCTAAGTACTCCAAAGAGGCAAGGGTGGTGAGACCTCATCTCACATACTTTGGGCATGTTCTTAGGCGGGACCAGTACTTAGAAAAAGACATTGTTCTTGAAAAAGTGGAGGGATCCGCAAGAGAGGACTCTCAATGAGACGGATTGACACGGTGACTGCAAATAATGAACTTAAGCACAGCAGAGATGTTGAAGATGACACAGGATCAAACAGGGTTTGGGTCCATTGTATACAGATCTATTGCCGTGTATTGGGTTGACTCGGGCACCTAACAACAGTATAAATAAGCAGTATCTGTATTGTAGGACACAGTAAGCATTAAGTTTTAACTCTGGAGCAAGGAGACAAACAAGTGCCTTGCTTTTGTGCTGTGTCACCAGATCTGAGATTTCTGTCTCTGTTTCCTCACTTAGAGGACAAAACTGCCAAAGCTGAGGTCCACCAGACTCCCAGCGGATCCCAGCCGACTCCAGATGGATCCCAGCCGACTCCGCAGCAGACTCTTGCTGGAGCTCAGCAGACTTCTGATGGGGCGCAGCTTCCGTCTGGACACGTGTGCCCTGCCACAAGCCAGGGCTCTGCAAGCAAATGCCCTTTCCTGGCAGCCCAGATGAAACAGATAGGCAGCACCGTATTCCGCAAAGCCAGTCTTGAGCTTCAGGAGGACGTGCAGGAAATGCACATGTTGAGGAAAGGTGAGCAGAGGAGGCGCAGGCCATGCAGCCCTTAGCATGGACGCATTCTTTTGACTTGTTTGTACCTCCCAGTTTGTATGTAGTTAGCCATTATTTGTGTAAACACCTTCCTCTTTTAGGGCCTAGCATAAATAGAAGTCTATGACAGTGTTGCAAAATGTGGGACTTTCTGGTGAGTATGTAGGATGTGGCCAGCTTTTAGAGTAATTGCCTAATTTCTGAAGCCACTCTAGTTTGGGGCTGCTACTAACTGCCTTTTCTTTCTTTCCTGCCATGTGTTGGTGTTTGCCATCAAGTCAGAACCAACTCATAGCAGACCCTCCCGTAGGTTTTCAGAGGTAGTAAATCGTATGGGAGAAGAGTGCCCATCCTTCTCCCACAAAGCAGCCTGTGGACATGGGATTGCTTTTGGCCCTGCAACACAGATTCTTAGTGACTGCATTAAATGCTGGCCTTTGAACCCCCAGGCTGTGTATCACACTGCCATAATTCCAGTGGCAGCTGTGTTTCCACAGCACAGCCAAGTTCTCTCTCCACCCCCAAGAGAAAAACTTCATATGGAGAAATTATGCCTATGACCTGTGTTTTCTGTGAAGAAAATTGAGATTCGTATCAGGAAGAGATGAAAATTTAGGAGTTAACTGACCAGCTGGAGAGCTTTGAATTTGAATGGCTGGTTGTTCTGCAAACCAAACAATCCTAACATGGGCCATTATAATAACTAAATTAGAAGATGAGAAGAAGCATACACTCAGTTACAACTACCTGTAGTTATGATTGGTGTGTTTGTGTCCATAAACTAGGCAAGAAGTCATTTTTGGATAATATATTTGGGAGGTACTGGAATGAAGTCAGTCACAAAAGGGCAAATTTTGTATGACTCTTACATGAAGTCACTAGAGCAGGCATATAGAGAGAGACTAAAACTTATTGGTGATTATCAGAGGAACAGAGGATCACTGCTTAAGGAGCAAGTCAAAAAGTCAAAGTCATTGGAACTAATTCATAGGTGACCCTCCAGAAGCTCTAAATTGCATCTCACGGAGCTGTTGGTGGATTTGAACTACCAAAGGTGCTGCCTTTGGGTTAGCAACACGACTCCCTACAGACTCTGCCGTGATGGACAGAGATACTAGGGATGCTGATACATCTTGATGAGCGTGATCTGTGTCACTGGATTGTACACATAAAAATAGAAAACCCCATTTGAACTGGCAGGTGGTGTTTTTATATTTGCACCACAATTTAAAAGATGAGTGGAGCATAGGTCACATTTCCCTCCTCTTACTTTTATTACAGAGGTTACCCAAACCCCAGTGAACCCCAATGTGATTAGTGTGAAGACCAATGATGGGGAGCCCAGTGGATTGCTGAAGAACTTCCAAGATATCATGCGGAAGCAAAGGCCAGAAAGAGTGTCCCATCTCCTCCAAGATAATTTGCCAAAATGTAAGTCTTACTGCTGTTTGTCTGTTGCAGGAGAATTTTTAACTTAACCGTACATCAGAGTTAAAACAAAAAGTGACATGATGAATTGAGGATTGAAAAGCGTGTTCCTTGCTTGATGTGCAATAACTTACCTAGGATCTCCCGTCTCCTGAGTTGCTGAGCTCAGATTTGCATCCAGGTCTGCCACCCAGATGTCCTCCTTAGCCACCAGACTCTACTATCTTTTTATTCTTTTTTTTTCTTCTTTTTTTTTAGCTATTTCCACTTTTCAATATGATCGTTTCTTTGAGAAGAAAATTGATGAGAAAAAAAATGACCACACCTATCGAGTTTTCAAAACTGTGAACCGGAACGCACATGTCTTTCCCATGGCCGACGACTACTCAGACTCCCTCATCACCAAAAAGCAGGTGTCGGTCTGGTGCAGCAATGACTACCTGGGAATGAGTCGTCACCCCCGCGTGTGTGAAGCAGTCATGTAAGCAGACCCCTGGCATTACTCGATGTAGGGATGATATCTTTCATGAGGGAATAATACTTGGTTGCTAAAACTATGCAAGCCAACAGCTGTTTAAGTGGTATAAGTGGTTGAAGAGTTCATTGATTAAAAACAAAATTGCCCTTATTGAGAGTTTGCTCGTGAAAGGGAGGTAGCTGGCCTCCATTGCAAGGTCTGCTGTGTATTATTTCAGGTTATGTTGGCATTGCTTCTAGTGAAGTCTAGGAAGAGTCATTGAATATTGTAGATTACTTTTTTTTTGTTACTTTATTACTTTTGTGTGAGTGTACTGTCAATCAGATCTGACTGGTACAGGAGGAGATTATCCCTCCTTCCCCGGCAAAGCATCTGGTGGATTCGAACCGTGCGCCTCTGGGATTGTAGTTGCAGCTCATTGCCACTAGGCCACCAGAGCTCCCCAGATCACCTTTTTAAAAACTCTAATGGAGCTCTGGTCACCTAGTGGTAAGAAGCTACACTGCAATCCCGAAGGCATGTGGTTTGAGGCCACCAACTGCTTGCTCTCTATGAGAAAGGTGGGCATTCTTCTCCTCTGAAAGCCCATCCAAGGGTCAGCTATGGGTCGGTTCCAGCTTTATGGTACACAACAACAGCAACGTGCAAACAGTTAGTGGAGCTCCTGGGTGTGTGACAGTTCAAGTTCATGGGTTTGTTAACTGTGTATATCAGTTCACTTCCCACAATGCCCACCAGTGAGATACTTTTAATTTGTTGTTTTTATGTGCCATTGAGTTGGAAACCACACAGAGCTGGCTCTCCAGTCAGTTTTCAGAGGCTCTAAATCACATGGGAGGAGATTGCCTGTCTTTCTCCTGCAGAGGGTCTGGTGGATTCAAACCACTTGCCTTTGAGTTGACAGTGCAATTCCTTACCCCTAGGTAACTAGAGCTTCCTATGCTTTTAATGAAAATGCTATGCAACCTTACACAGAGACATCCTTGGTCACAGCTGTGAATAGAGGAGGACCCAGCAGCACTGAAGGAAAAATCTACCTGAAAGACCCATTAAAAGTGGTGGGACCACTGGTTGCCAGAAAGTTGATTCCAGTCATAGCGACCTATGAGCACCAGAGCAGAACTGTGTTCTAAAGGATTTCCAGTGGTTAATGTTTAAAAAGCAGATTGCTAGGTCTGTCTTCCAAGGCACCTGTGGGCACACTCAAACCTCTGGCCTTTTGGTTAGCAGCCACGCAACCATGTGCACCACAGAATGACTCCAGAAGAAATGGTAGATCCCCTCATTGATGTCCTTCAGAAGAATCACCGTAATTGGGGAAGATCCTTAGGAAAGTTGCTTGTCAGACTCTACAGGGAAGCTTCCTAAAGAGGGTCCCATCTGAGGTTTAGTGATTGATTGTTGTGTTGTTAGAAACCATCAAGTTAAGTACGACTCATAGCAATCCTATGAACAAAAAATCTGAGCCCTGTGCCATCCTCTTAATTTCTGACACACAAAAGCCCATTGCGGCAGTCACCTTCTCAATCCACCAGGTTGAAGATCTTCCTCTTCTTCACCAACCCTCCACCCTTCCCAGCATCATGTCCTTCTCCAAGGAATAGCCCCTCCTACCAATATGCTCAAAGTCTCTGCCAGGTTATTTGGAGGACAGCTGTCTGGCCAATGGATCGGAAAAGGTCCATATTTGTTCCCATTCCCAAGAAAGGTGATCCAACTGAATGTGGAAACTGTGGAACAGTAGCGTTACTATCACATGCAACCAAAATACTGCTGAACAGCATTCAAAAAGGGCTAGAATAGTACATAGATAGGGAACTTCCAGAAGGTCAAAGAGGATTTAGAAAAGGTTTAGTGGTAGACATAACATTCAGATGTGTTCCTTATCTGGTTTGTAGAGGGCTTAACCCAGTAGACCCCAGGGACGCCTAAGTACTTAATCAATGTTCATTGAGCATTTGTTGTTGATTACCCCTTATAGGTGATTTGTTTTCTCCCACCTAGTCTGAAGATGAACACTTGGTGAAACTTCTGACCTTGAGTTTCATCTAAGAAAAAATTGATAGATGACTATAAGTTTCTTGGATCCTAGAAAGGGAGACAATCCGCATTCTATTTAGAATCGTGAAATTTCTTTTTCTAGCTAATATTCTGGTGTTTTTTTTTTTGTTACAGGGAGACTTTGAAACAGCATGGTGCTGGGGCTGGTGGGACTAGAAATATTTCTGGAACTAGTAAATTCCACGTGGAGCTGGAACAGGAGTTGGCTGATCTCCACGGGAAAGATGCAGCACTCTTGTTTTCTTCTTGCTTTGTAGCCAACGACTCAACCCTCTTCACCTTGGCTAAGATGTTGCCAGGTGAGGAAGTCTGTCCTGGAGACCTGAGAGATGTTTGGGTTTCTTATCACTAAGAGGAAATTTGACAGCAAAAAAGACATACCAGCAGCACTCAGTTGAGGGTGAGGCTTGTAGGTCTGTGTTCTTGAAGCAGAAACACTAGTTAGCTATTTTGCCACAAAGAAGATGGCACGCAGAGTCTTTTTTCCCCTCAAATGGGACAAACCTGTATTTTCAGGGCATTGTCTGTTGTCTCTCTGGAGAGTGATTTCTGTTTGGTGTAGATGGTAATAGTATTTTTGTTGCATTAGGCTGTGAAATCTACTCAGATTCTGGGAACCATGCCTCCATGATCCAGGGGATTCGGAACAGCCGCGTGCCAAAGTACATCTTCCGTCACAATGACGTCAGCCATCTCAGAGAACTCCTGCAGAGGTCCGACCCCGCGGTCCCCAAGATTGTCGCATTCGAAACTGTCCACTCAATGGATGGTGAGTCTCAGTGTGTTTAAATAGAGGCTAATCTGAAACCTTAAATTATCAAACTAGGCCAAGCTGTTTTAACAGTATGGGTTTGAATTTGCACTTTATTTTTGTTCAGTTTTATACTGGGATTTTTGGTTCCATGCACAGAATTTTCTCTCCATTTTACTGAGTTCGAAGATCTCACAATAACCTAGACATTGTTAAGAGCCATTGAGTCAACTCTGGTTCATAGTGACCTTGTGAACAGTGGACCTGAGCCCTGTCCTATTCTGTGCCATCCTTGTCATCCCTTGAACCCACCATCATCACTCTGTCAGTCCATCTCATTCCTTTACTGACTGTCCACCTTTTCAAGCATGATGTCCCCTTCCAAGGAATAACCCCTTTAGGAAGTTGGGGTTTTTTTCTTCTTAGTATTAAAAATAGTGTCTTACAATATTAGTCATTTTTTTTCTTCTGCCTAACTCTAACCAAAACAAAAGTTTATGAAAAAGCAAGCTTTTCAGCACAGCCTCTGGTCTGTCCTCAGGAGCGGTGTGTCCCCTGGAAGAGCTATGTGACGTCGCCCATGAGTTTGGAGCCATCACGTTTGTGGACGAGGTGCATGCAGTGGGGCTGTATGGTGCTCAAGGAGGAGGGATTGGTGACCGAGATGGAATCATGCCAAAAATGGACATCATTTCTGGAACACTCGGTATGTGTACTTGGCTTACTCTGTTGTCTCCATTAACTTTTCCTAACAAGACCAGAAGTAACTAATCTGACCGACATCAGGTGAAGAGATAGAGTAGCCAAAGCCTGGGCCACTTTCTGAGTGAGTTTTTGGACACAGAAGTGGCAGCACAGGTTATCAGAATCTCTGAAGTCGTGGGGCAGGCTTCCTAGAATCAATAATCTCAGAGCCCAACATGACAAAATACCATTGACTGCCAGCTCATTCCCGAGAGTCTTATCTCATTTTTTTTTGAGAGTCTTATCTCTCTCTGCCTCAGATTATACTATCAATTAAAAATGAAGAAGAATTCTAGTGTTGTTTTTATTCTAGAGTGGTTGTGCATACCTCCAGGTTCAGGTGCTGTGAAGGGCTAAGCTCTCTGCCTGGGAGGTGAAAAACATTCTTCCTTATCTCCTCTGGCCTCCTAGTAGAGACATGATGTCTCACATCCAGCCAAACTCTGGAGCAATGCCACCAAGCTTTAACTTCCTGATTGCCTTAGTCACTGGCTTTGTGACTTTGAGTTAGCATGTAACATTTCTATACTCCATTTCCTCATCAAAATAATGCAAGTAATAACAGGATTTGCCTCTCTCTCTTTTTTTTTCCTTCCTGTGGAGAAGATAAAGAGTTACTGATAATCACTGAACATTTCCTAGGTGGGCCCTAGAATTATACTAGAAAGATGATGACATAAAGTATAGAAATTTAAGGAAGCTCTGGTGGCCTAGTGGCAAGAAACTGAAATGCAGTCCCAGAGGTATGCTGTTCAAATCCACCAGAAGCTCGCTGGAAAAGAAGGGACAATCTCCTCATGTACCAGTCAGATCCAATTTGGTGGTACACACACACAAAATAATAATTTAAAAAAAAATTAACGATCTTTCAGAAACCTTCAGAAGTTAGTAAGGCAGTTGCAGACCATTGTTGTCGCCCACTACAATACCACTTGGCAGTTTGCACTTGGCAAAGGAGGGGCAGGCCGAGAGGGTTTCCTCAGCATTGTCAGGGACTGTGAGAATGGGTGCAGACCAGGCCTGAGTCCTCAAGGTACAGCCCATCCAGGAGAAAATACTTGTTCATGGTATGCTGATCCTGACTGCTCTTTGTTTCTCAAGAACCTCTCTTGACGTGGACACTTTGAAGATGTGGTCATTGTGAAATAGAAAATGCTAGTGAGAAATTTTCCACTATGGGAGTTCAGGCCAGTCCAACCCCTGAATAGAATTCAAGCAGGAATGTTAATTACACAACATAACGTCAAGATCTGTGAGGACTCTTCTCGAGTCCTTAATATCGAAAGTTGAGACCCAGATTATATAAAGAGACTGAGAACTGAAAACTAACCCCTTCTCCAGATCAGCCTTAACAGGTTCTGAGTGTTTGTATTTATCTGGCAAATATGAATTGGGTTTCTCTCTTGGCTGCTAACCAAACGGTTGTGGGGTTCAGTCTCACTAGCCTCCTGGGAGGAGGTACAGCCATCTTCTTGCATGAAGCTTTTAGCTTTGGAAACCCTCCGAAACAGGCCTGCTCTGTCCTGTAGGCCACTGTGGGTCATCATTTGATGACATGGGGGGGTTGTGTTCACTTAAATAGAAAATGACCCTGGTCACTTTGAAGCAGTTAGTGCCTTAGCTGAGTTACATCCCAACCTCAAGAGTAATGTCCCCATGAGGGAATGGTTTAGGGACAGCAGCTCAGGCCCTACTGCAGAGAGCACAAGTGGTCCAGTTGGTAGGAGAGAGAGCTACGTGGCAGGACACAGCTAAGTGGAAAAGACACATAAGGGACCACCAGCTTGACACTAGACTACCCTGTGGCCAGTCACGGGCTACCAGATCTCTTCTGGAGATCTGCATTTTAATCCAGGTCAGGTACTAGCTGAGCCATGTTACTTTAGGCAAGACCCTTCCATAACTTTTCCTCAGCATCTGCTTCCTTCCATCTCTGGAGATTAAGATACTAAGGAAGAAATAAATGTTTCGATGCTCTGTAACTCCTTAACTGTGTACTTTGAGACGCTCTTAGTGTTCTAAATGGGATCATCTCCCCCCAGGCAAAGCTTTCGGCTGTGTTGGAGGCTACATTGCCAGCACGAGCTCACTGATTGACACCGTGAGGTCCTATGCTGCCGGCTTCATCTTCACCACCTCCTTGCCGCCTATGCTGCTGGCTGGAGCCCTGGAATCTGTTCGGATCCTGAAGAGCTCTGAGGGGCGGGCCCTCCGCCGCCAGCACCAGCGCAGCGTCAAGCTCATGAGGCAGATGTTAATGGACGCTGGCCTCCCGGTGGTCCCCTGCTCCAGTCACATCATCCCCATCCGGGTAATGGCCTGTCTCTGTTCCGTTTGATACCTTCCTGAGGTTGAGTTTGCGCAGGGTGACTGCAGGGGCAGCGGCCATATCCAGGAGCCCTCTGCAGTATTTCCACCCTTGGCTGACTTCACAATGAGAATGAAGTCTTTGAACCCAGCAGGCTGGAGTAGAGGCTCCCCCTCCAGAGTACTTGCCTTAACTGGATAAACAGAACAGGGATCTGGAAAGCTCCGGAAACCAGAGCTTTGAAATGTGTCGTTCTAGTCAATTAACTTCTTAGTAGATCTTGCTCTTCCTGCTGCACATGTTAACCTGTTCTTGTCACAGTTGAAAGTAACTGGTTACTTTCATCCTCAGGGAATACACATCCTGGGGTGCAGAGACCACAGGTGTGAGCTGGATTGTAAAACCACTTCGTTTTTATGAGAAGGATATCAGCGTGAAATGTATCTGTAGTGTAGCTTCACTTCCCCGCCCCTTTAGGTTGCAGGTGTTTGGGGAGCACTTTCCCTTTCCCAAGTTCACTGTTAACTGCTGCAGTCTGGCTCCAGCCTGGGCCCTCGGGCACTATATTCACCTGGAATCCTCTCACCAAACTCAGGTTGCAGATGCTGCTAAAAACACAGAAATCTGTGACGAGCTGATGAGCCGCCACAACATCTATGTCCAGGCCATCAATTACCCCACGGTGGCCCGCGGAGAAGAGCTCCTGCGGATTGCCCCTACCCCTCACCACACACCGCAGATGATGGACTACTTCGTCAGTGAGTACCCTGGCGGGCGGGCTGCCGTCGGGCCTTGGCTCAACCTGTCTTTGCAGTAATTATAATTAAAGGCATTAAGATTTATTTCTTCTTTTTCTGAGTAATGGTTCTCAGCGTTTAGGAAGTAATGAGTTTAAAAAAAAAAAAGGAAGTAATGAGTTTTTGTTTGCCGTGTTGGGAAATCTGGCAACAGTTGATGGGTGGTGGTTGCATAATGTGATTAATGTAATTGATATCCCTAAATTATATACCCACAAAATGCTGAATTGGCAAACACTGCATTTTATGTGTGTTTACAGCAATAAAAAACATAATTAGCAAACACATGGGAAAATAGAAATTGCCTCCGAGGGTCAAAACCCTACAAGGCATTTGGTCATTTGATTCTCTTTAAGATGGTGTGGGAGTCATTTTGTAAGTTATGAGGGGGCCCCCTGAGTATATGACTTAGGGGTGCATAGTACTGGCTGCTGCAGGAGAGGAGAGGCTCCTGGACACTTGAGTCTCCTCAGCCTCAGCACTTCTCTACTGCCCCGGCCTAGTGTGGTCCCTGAACTAGTCTCACATTTGCTCCCTCAAAGTGGTAATTGCTCAGCCTTGCATTGGGCTGTGCACGCCCCCTCTCCTGAAGGCAAAGACTACAGGAAGGGTGGAGGGCTCCCTGCTCCCAGCGCCCATGCGCTCAGCCTCCTTACAGGCTTTAGGGCCACTCTGTTAGGACTCTTCAGTGTGAATGGCTGTGTGGCTTCTTTGCATATTTAGAAAAGAAAGCCAGAGTTGAGCTGGTGCAGCCAAAGTGCTCCTTGGAGGCAACAATGATAAAAACTTCGTCTCACATACTTTGGGCTTATTGCTAGGAGAGGCTGTTGATTAGAGAGGGACATCATGCTTGGTAAGGTGGAGAGATGGAGAAAGAGAGGAAGACCTTCAACCAGGTGGATTGATAACAGTGACTGTAGCAGTGGGTTTGAGGATGTTGAAGGCTGTGAGGATGACACAGGATAGGACAGGGTCCAGACTATTGTTCACAGGCTCAATATGAGTTATACATGACACTCAACAAGAACAAACAATTTTATCAGAGTAAAAAAATCACATCATAAAATTCACCTTTTTAAAAAAGTATACATTTCCATGAGTTTTAAAAAAGTACACATTTCCATGAATTTTAGCATTTAGTATTGAATTTAATATCTGTAAAACCTCATATTCAATAGAGACCTCTGGCGGTCTAGTGGATAAACAATGATGCTATCAATGCAAAGGAAAGCTGTTCAAATCTATCAGCTGCTCTGAAGGACAAAGGCAGACCATCTCCTCTTGTACAGTTTACTGCTTCAGGAAACCTGCAGGAGGGTCAGCTGTGCATTGTTTTGTTTTTGTTACATTCATCAGTCACTGCAGTTGCTCATCCTCTGGCAACTGCATCTCCTTTTGATGTGTATGGATTCACCTGTTCTCGATACTTCTTTGAAGGGGAATCATGCACCGTGTGATCCGTTGTATCTTGCACAGTGCTTTCAGAGTTTAACCGTGTTATGCCATGAATCAGCCTTGCATTTTTTTTAATTGCCAAATAATCTTCCATACAGTTGTGGATATATCATAACGTGTTATTTATCCATTCATTTAGTTGAGTTACAGTTGGGTGGTCTCTTTTTTACTCTTGGGAATAATATTGTGCATGGATACATATTTTCACTTCCTGCGAATATATCCACCCTTTTAATTTTAAAAAACATTTCTCCCCCCAGAAAAACTGCTTGCCACGTGGAAGCGAGTGGGGCTAGAGCTGAAGCCACATTCCTCCTCAGCTGAGTGCAACTTCTGCAGGCGGCCGCTGCATTTCGAAGTGATGAGTGAAAAAGAGAAGTCCTACTTCTCGGGCATGAGCAAGTTGGTTTCTGCTCAGGCCTGAGTGTCACCTCGATGACCATGTCATATCCGTATAGTTGTCTTTATATGTAAATTAAATTATATTAAAATCTATAGTAAAACCATAGTTCCAAAATAAGTTCTTGCTAAGTGATCCATCCTGCTACTGGATGCTGAATCAAAAGAGATTTTTTTTTTAATTTTTTTTTTACATCCATTTCATGTGGTCCATATTGTATGGTTATATAAAACACATAAAAACATTCTGGTGTTCTGGTCTTGGCTTCAGACCCAGTGAGGTGATAGAGCCGTCTAGTCCACTTGCCATAACCACCTCTTCTTGTCTGCTTCCCCCAGGGGCTAACCCAGCTGTCCCCAAGCAGCTGGAAGACTCTGAAAGAGGTGACACGCCATGATAGCCAGTGCCTTTTCGTTTCTCCCCTCATCTCACACAGGCACCTTCACTGTCAGCCCTCCTGCAGCTGGCTCCTTCCCCTCTTCCACCTCACCTACTGCCCCCACTTCACACTTCCCCTTGAAAGTCGGAACCAGTGTGTCTGTCCTCACCACATCCTCCACCATCTGCCTCCTATCCCTGTAATCTCCTTCCCTTACCCCCTCCCTCCTCTCTTCTGGGTCCCATCCCAGACATTCCTGTAGCCATCTCTTCTCTGTAAATTTCTTCTTGTTGACCCTTGGCATCCTGTTTGTCACTCATTTCAAAAGAGAGTCCTCCCTCAATCCAACCCCCCTTTCCACTGCTGTCCCATCTGGGTCTTCCTACTTCCTTCTTCCTACTGAGGCTACTCTTCATAGTTACTAGAAAACCTCCATCCAGCCAAATCCAGAGGTCAGTCTGTCTTCCTCTCGCTAGACCTTTCCGTCGCCATATGTCCAACGTATCCTTAGCTGCTTTTTAAAATTTTTTTCTGAGCTGTGCTCTTACCTCTGCTGATCGTTATGTCTCGCTTCCCTCATGGTCCATTAGCTGAATCTTCCCATACATGCTGAGGTCCCCACTGGGCTCATCTCCCCTCCATGATCCTCCCAAGCCTTAGAGTTTCAGTTCCATCTGTACTCACACCTGCCATCTGAGACTTGGAGCTTCCTGACTCTGCCTGCCTTGCCCAGCTGCTCTCCCCTGTGTCTTTCCTAGTTCCTCAGGCCTCATCTTGTCTCTATGTCTTATCCAGACTACTAACAAGCCCTGTAAGCTTGCTGGTCAGGCCACTTCTGTCACCACTGCTGCTACCCTGTATGTGGCATCTGCCCCAGCCTCCCCACATTGTAGCCTAGGGATCTTTTTTAAAAAGATTGTGTCCCTGTCCTGCCAAACACCTCCTGGGTCTTCCTGTTACACTCTGATTGGCTCCAGATCCCTCCGTCTGACAAAACCTTCTCAGGCCTTATCTGCCATCCCACCCACATTTGCTGGTTTCCACTATTCCATAAGTTGGGTCTCAGAAATCCCAGTCTGTTCAGGCTCTATGCTTGGATTTTTCTACTCTGGGTCATGGTGTCTTCACTCAGGACAAAGGTCCCTAAGGAGCCCTGAATGCCCCAGCCACAGCAGCCCTTCTCATATTCTCACCATCACTTGACCTCCCCTGCTGCCCTTCACACCACCAGGACTGTCCCCTGGGGGGTTTTAGTTTCCTCTCCATGAAGGCCAGTACTTGGCTTTCTCCTCATTTCTGTATCCTCAATGCCCAGTATAGTACCTGGTGCACAGCCAACACTCCATAAATGAGGGTTGGATGAATAACAGGAACAATATCCATATCCATTTCACAAGGAAGAATGGACAAATGAGAAAAGCAAGCAGCTGGGGGATGAGAGACAGCACTTGCCTCCTCTGCGCCCTAGAAAAGCAATCCTAAGAGAGTGGCATTGATGCCCCTCCACCCACATCAGGACCAGTCTTGGGGAAAGCTCAGCTGAGTCATGGTCCCAGCACATAATCCTCATGTTCCCACGCCTGGAGCTGCCTGCACCCCTTTCCTCCACGGTGGGCAATGTCCTGAATGCTTAGGGAGATAGCGTTTCCTCTTCAGGGCCCTCTCAAGTGCCAGCTGAGTCAACAAGGTCTTTAAAAGCACTTTCTCCGCAGTGCTGCTGGTGTCAAGAGAACAAAGAATGGCAAGAGCTGTAGGAAAGAGATCTGACTTGTGAGCACCTTAGAAATGGGGAGCTTGGCTTGAGTAAGTGAATGCCAGGGAAGAATTCAAAGAACATCTAAAGGCCTAGGGTATTATATAGAAAGCTCTAGAAAAAAAAAGCGGGGGAAGGGTGGATGAGATTTTTAAATCTCAGTAGATAGAATTTCTTTGGATTTAAAAAAATCCCTCTAATCAGGTTTCCTGGCTCTTGTGTCACAGCCTCTGCTTGTTGGGGCCCACTCTTCACAGCAGCTGAGAGCCTGAAAGGGCAACGCCAGGGTCTGCAGACTCCCCGAGATTCCAGGGATGCTTTTGAAGAGAGCTGCTGTCCCCATCCTTGTCAGCCCATAACCCCCCCCCCCCCCCCATTCAGGGCTCTGCCCAGTCCTCCCTGGCCTGAATGAATCACTCTCTGGTGGGAAAGAGAAAGCATCCAAGTTCCATCAGTGCAATGTCCTGAGCACAAATCCCCTTATATAATAGTGGCAACCTGGACCTTGCTACTGCACACATGGACACTGATTTTTACAAGAACCTGCAGTGTGGCTCTGGCTATCTTATTTACAGGTGAGCAAATTGAGCTCTGGCACCACAACTCATGCTTGGAAGGGTGGAGGGACAGCACAAGAGAGGAAGACCATGAATGAGATGGATTGACTCAGTGACTGGGGTAATGGGGATCAATGTGTCAGAGACAATGAGCTTGGCTCAGGATACAGGAGAGTTTAAGAGTTGTTGTACCTATGGTTGCTGAGTCACAAGCAACACAAAAACACGTAACGACAACAACAAATTGAGCTTCCAGTGGGAAGGGCATCTACCCAAGATTAACGGCAGATCTTGGAGAAGCCCCAGGGAATTTGATCCAAGTCCTAAGTCTCCCGATTTTGCAAAGCCGATGACTGTTAATGACTAAGTATGGCTGGCCAGGTATGTGTCATGCTGTCCTGTCTGCAATCAGCTCCTAACAATTCCTGCAGACCTGGGTAGTGAAGCTTGCTGAGTCTCATCTTGTGGACAGCAGAACATTTCCTGCAGATGGACCAAGAACTCTACACTCCCAGCCTAGCTCAAACTGGATTCAGCAGTCCCCACTACAGCCTCTAACTTCATCTCCAAATTCCCAGCCCTGAATTACTAGCCCTAAAGCCTGTCAGCTTGAGTAGGTCAGTGGGTAGATATGCAGATTTTGCTTGGGAGCTGCCAAGGGCCAGACTTGGTTGGTCCAAAACACAGGCAAATTGTGCTTTCCACATGCAAAGTAGGGCATTTGGAACTGGCTCTGCTTCTTGGTTCCTGCTGTTGTTCCTGGATGTAACAACAAGGAAGTCAGACTTTCACACAGCAAGGATTTCTCCAGAGGTTCCAGCCTCCGGGGGAAAGGTGGTTGTGTTTCTCCAGCCCCTGTGATTTCCTCATGGCAGGGAAATGCATGAGACCATGTTACGATTCCTATGGGCTCCTTCCAGAGTGGACTGCAACTGCTCAGAGCAGGTCCTGGTTCAAGTAAGACTTCTGACCAACTTGACCTTCTCTCTGCCTTGCCTTCAGGTGAATTGATAGCAGGGACAATGGCCCATCACACGAGTCCCTGTACCTCAACAGAAAGAGGAAGGTGGCCTCTACTTCCTTTCCAGATGTGCATCAAGGACAGACAAAAACAACTCCCAACCCCAGAACTGCCCATGGCCAGGCTGCAAAATCAGCTCCAAGCTCTTCCCAGCAGGCCCTGAGAAACTGAGTGGCTCTGAACCAGTCTGGGCCAACCAAGCTGGGCTCAGCCCTTACCAGCTCCAACTGTCAGGCTGCATGTGTGTCCTCAAAAGGCAGGTGGAGGAGCACAGAGTGAGCCAGGCACACAGGACAGATGGAATTTAAGTGAGAAATATTATTAAAATAATTAGTTTGGGAGCCTTGGCAGGGAGCAGTGAGCCTTGGTGGGGAACAGCGAGCCTCAGCAGGGAGCAGTGAGTCATGGAGGGACCCACCCTCCAGGACCTAGTAGGACAGCAGGAATTTGAGTGAGGTACTTGGGGTGGAGGATCACTGCTGATTGCTGGACCAATTGTGGGACCCCTTCACCTTAAGCAGAAGAGAGTGAGAAGACAGCTGGAGCTCAACTGGGGTGGCTGACCCAGTTCTTGAGGGGAAAACTAAGGCTTCTTGGTTTTTCCATCTAGGTGCCCCCTGCACACATCCACCCCCATGTGGGCCTGCGTGCATGTCCCCCCCCATCCCTGCATGTGTCTGTGTGTGTGCGTACCCTATGTGCATCTGCATGCATGCCTGCCCAACTTCTTCTAGAGCAGTGACATCAGATCAAGAACCCACTATTGTCTCAGGCACGAAAAACTATCACAGCAATGTCACAAAAGAAGCAGACTACCTCACTTCCTACACAAGCCCAAAGCAAGATATCACCCCGCAAAAATGACACAGTATCAATGGCTTTCCTGAAGCCAGAAAGTCTGGTGGAACTTTCTGACACAGAATTTAAAAGAACAATGATTGAATATCTTCAATGGGTGAAAGACAAACTTGAAGGATTACAGAACACTGCAAGCAAAAACCAGGAGGAGCTTAAAAAAACAGTACAAAACAATGCAGACAAAAGAAATGAGGCATTAGAGGTATTGGAAAAACAAGAAACGATGATCCAAAATATAAGGTCCAATGTTTCATATGCTGTCAACATGATGGAGGGACACATAAACAGAGTTGAAGAGATGGAACACAAAACCAGTGAAATAGAAGATAGACTTGTCGCCACTGATTTATGAGAGCAAAAAAGCAGAATCAAAAAGAAGGAAAAAGAAAAAAAATACCCTAAGAACAATGCGGTACACCATCAAGAGAAGTAACATGCTCATCATCGGAATCCCAG